TCCTGGTGAAGCTTTGTCTTGGTTGCAGTTCTCTGTCCAGCTGGGCCTTCACCGGAGGGCTTCTTGTGGGCTTCTCTTTTCCTGGGCTGATGTTCTCCACCTCTCTTCGGGCTGATGATTTTCTGCTATTCCCCTGGCTTTGTTATGAGGTGCCAGGTTTTATGGTCTAAAGTTCATGAATAGGGATGACCAGGGATTCGAAACCTGAACCAATGGCTGATCATCCATTTGGCAATTTTTCAGAGGGGGTCTGTGGCAGGCCTTTTGGGATTTATGACCAGACTGATTCCCCCTTTATTGATGATTTTCACTAAGCTGGTGTATCTTTTGATACATACACTTTTATGGTAACCACTGACCAGATTTGGAATCAGGAGTGATATTCCATCAGTTTGATTCCAAACATACCATACCAGCCTAGTGGTTCACACCTCATACCATCTGTATTAATTAATTAAGAATTACTTCAGGTATGTTACTGACTCACATCAGTATACGGTATAGGTGTTTTGGGTTGCATCTCACAGATATTACATGACATATTCACATTCAAACAGCACATTTTATCCTTAGATAGGCGTGGCCGTTAGTTTGTGGTAATACCAATTTAAGTTGCACATCTGGGAACAACATATTTTGGTTGGTGTGGCTTATCCCAATTCTCTCCAAAATGGATAATATACTGTACATCTTAATTCAGTTCTTTTAATGCAGAATGGTCGAGCACAAACAGCTTGCTAACAGGACACAAAGGACTGTGTATTCAGCATCCAGACACTACATGCTTTTTCATAGCATTCTGCCCAAACGTGTGTGACCCTCTACCCTCACACTTACACAGAGGAGTAATAATAAAAGAGACAGTGTCATAAACTCGCTTTTCACTGTGATTACAGATGTGTTTTTATCCATCATTCCCCTGCAGTCCATACCCACACATAAGTCAGAATTAATGTGTTTAGAGTCAGCTATGTTGAAGTTAAGCTGGTTGTCATACTGAAGGGCCTGATTATTCGTATCAGGTGTGTTAAATTAGGGCTGCACCTAAGCTCTGCAGGGTGGTAGCTCTCCAGAAGCAGGATTGGGCAGCCCTGGTTTAGACCAATCAAGGCTCAGTCCCACACATACAGAACCAGGAATCTTTAACCCTCAGTGTGAAGTTACAGTACTGCCCACTGTGTCACAACACCTCTGAAAACCAGCAGAGGGCGCTCACAGTCTCATAAGAACATAAGAAATTTACAAACGAGAGGAGGCCATTCGGCCCATCAAGCTCGTTTGGGGAGAACTTAACTAATAG